TTCCCCCAAGGCCAGCCCCACCTGTCGCTGGCCTGGTGGGCAAGCCTCCGCGGGCGGGTGGGTCAGGGTCTCCTGAGGCCGCCCCGTGGCGGGAGCAGGTCCAGGCGGGAATCCTGTCTGTATTCCCAGTCCACTGTGTGTGAGAAGATCATGGAGCTGCTGGGCCAGAACGAAGTGGACCACCGGCAGCGGAAGCTGGTCATCCTGAGTCAAGACAGGTTCTACAAGGTCCTGACCCCAGAACAGAAGGCCAAGGCGTTGAAGGGACAGTACAATTTCGACCACCCAGGTGCAGCTGAAGACCCTAAGGGGAGGGCGGGAGGGAGGACAGACCAAGGGGACTGGCTCCCGGGTCGGCCGGCGATGCAGAGAGACCCCAGTGGTTCCATGACGTTTCTGAGTAGTCTGAGCCGGAGCAGGCTGTGTGATTAAGTCAGAAGGACTTTGCCTCATTCTCTGCGCCCCAGACGGCCCAGCAGGAGCTGCCGGCTCCCTCATTTGGAGCCAGTCAGGAAGTCTTTGCTTCCGTGGAGCCTTGGGGACCATTGCTATGCCAAGATTTTGGTCATGAAGAAATCCCCCACCTTCCTGCTGTGTGGGGTCCTGCCCTGGGGCAAAGGCCTTTAGAGGGTAGCAGGGCAAGCAGCGGCTAAATGAGAGGGCTGTGTCTGTTCTGCTCAGGTGCAAATGGGGTCAACAGATGAGAGGAGAGAGCCAGCCTGCCCTTGCCTGCCACCGCTAGATCCCACCCTATGGCTGGGTCCCAGCGGGAGGAACGCCTAAGCAGCCTTGGTCGGTGGTTATTTCCCAGAAATAGAAGCAGATGCCTAACCCACCTGCCTCCCAGTGCTGGCCGATCAGGAAATCCCCGGGTCTAACTTCTGTGTGGGACAGCAGCCTGCAAATGTAAACTGTGGGGGTGGGGTCTAGTCCAGATGTTCCCGAGGCCGCAGGTACCATGAGCACCCAGCTGTGGCTGCCCGCCCCTCAGGCAGAGGAAGTTGGTTCCCATCCCCAGCACAAGGATGCCTGGAGAGTCTTGCCTTTTGTTCCGTCCCTGCAGATGCTTTTGATAACGATTTGATGCACAGGACTCTGAAAAACATCGTGGAGGGCAAAACTGTCGAGGTCCCAACTTACGATTTTGTGACCCATTCAAGGTGAGCAAGGTGGTTCCTGGGAGAGGAACCGTGTGCAGGGGGGCCAGCTAGCACACCCGCCGTGGGGTCCGCAGGTAGCCCTGCATCAGCCTGGCCCTGTTGGTTTCTGGGCATACCCCTGTCTCCCTCCCGCTGTCATCTGTCCCCCTCCAGGTGGTCCACACCTGGTGACCAGAGCCATCTGTGCCTGGGCTCCCAGATCCCGTAGCTCCAGCAGGGCCCGTGTCCTGGTCTCGCCTCCCAGGTTAGCAGAGACCACGGTGGTCTACCCCGCAGACGTGGTCCTGTTCGAGGGCATCCTGGTGTTCTACAGTCAGGAGGTCCGGGACATGTTCCACCTGCGCCTTTTTGTGGACACGGACTCTGACGTCAGGCTGTCAAGAAGAGGTAAGGCGGACGCAGGCCTCTCTCTGCTGTTGGCTGAGGCCAGCCGCGAGTCCTGACTGCCGTACTCCTCCTGCCTCAGTTCTCCGGGACGTGCAGCGCGGGAGGGACCTGGAGCAGATCCTGACCCAGTACACCACCTTCGTCAAACCAGCCTTCGAGGAGTTCTGCCTGCCGGTACCCCTCCTGCTTGCTTGGGGACCTCCTTTTCTCCCTTTTCAAGAGGACCCCTGGCGCCCTGTACCGTGAGAGCTGAATTGTGGGGGAGCAGGGTCTTACGAAGGGAGAAGTTAGCTCGTTAGACCTCCTCGCAGGGACTCTTCTCCGCTCTAAAAGCATTGTCTGTGTGGATCCCTTCCTCTGCCTGCAAGAGCCCCTCGGCCCCACAGCTCCATGCAGCTCCTCTCCTCCTGCTTCAGGCCTTCCCCTTTCTCTCCACTTTCCAGCTCTTACTGGATGGGACTTATCGGTAGTTTGAAAGGGAAACTTAACATTTTGCTTCTTAAAAGTAAAATATGGTGCAAAGGAAACGGAGCCGGGATCCCCACTTGTGCTGAGTAGACAGATGAGTTCTGTCTGCTGCTGGTGGAAGAGAACCTTATTTTACGTTTGTGTTCTCCAAAGCACCTGGAAAGTGGTGAGAAAAGTAAATTGATAATCACACTCTCTGTTACTCACAGAAGGAAAGGCATTTGGCAGAGCAGGTGGTTAATGGGAAAAGTGTGGACACCCACTGCCACCAGGTGACCCTATGTGTAGGCTGCGCCCCAGCACGGTCCTTGAACTTCCCACTCCCCTTATGTGCAGCCACACCCTGAGTCTGGCCAGGGTGACCGTGTCCCTCTCTCGCCCCTGTAGTACGACCTTCCTCAGCTCTTCCGCACCCCACAGTGAGCGCCCCCCGTGAAGCCAGCCTGGCCCTCTTTGTGCCCGCGGCTTCCATGGGTCCCCACAGCCTGCAGACACCACTGCCCCAGGACTTGGCCCATGTCTACATGCCCACCACACGGAACGGTCCGCGGGGCTGTCCCGCAGCTCAGACGGCTTCCTTTTCCTCTCCCTCTGCTCAGCCTGCTTGGGGTGTGTCCCTCTTAGCAACACCTGGCTGGGGTCCCTCCTCGATGGCCGGGTTCCTCCTGGTGTCTCTGTCCCTGCCCTGACCTGGCAGAGCACCCGGCAGGGAGCAGGTGTTCGCACGGGGACAGGCCGCGTGGAGGGCTGTGCACGTGCCAGCCACGGAGTGTGCCGCGACCTCCCTCGCTCCCAATCTGGGCTTCTCGCAGAAGGGTTCCTGGTTCCAGAGGAAGCAGGTCACGTGTGGCAGAAGGATACCGCAGGTCACGTGGCTCAGGGACCTCTTCTCACAATGGCGTTCCCCGGAAAATGCACGAGCATTTCAGAGACGCCCAGAGAGGAACGTGTGTCTTCTCGATGCCTCAGCCACTTCTGCCTCTGGCACCTGCCTAACACCCAAGTCCCAGCCCCCCATCTGCCACACCCCGGTCCCCGCCACGCCCCCCACGGCCGCTCTCCTGCCGTCGAGTCTGGTGTCGAACAACCAGAAGTCCTCGGAGGGACAGAGCTTCTGAGATCTGCTTTTTGCCTTGCAGACCAAGAAGTATGCAGACGTGATAATCCCTCGAGGGGTCGACAACATGGGTAAGAACCAGGCCTGACGGCTGCCCCGACCCCCCAGTCCACCGCCCTGGGCCCTGGGGCAGGCCCTGCCCGGTCCTGGTGGTCACAGTGAAGTGATGAGGGTTCCCGTCCACGTACGTGTGTTGCACAGATCCAAAGAATACTTTAAAAATCTGTTTAACACGTTGGACAGCGAAAACGGCCCCGCCTTGCTTGTCACAGCTCAGTGAGGCCGGAAACAGATCGCTCTGTTGACGGGGACTTGCGCCATAGCAGGAAGTGTTTTTTCTCTGGGCTCTTGGTGAACCGAGACCCCCACAGACGGGCCAGGCCATGTTACCGTGCTCCTTCCCGCCAAGCGCTTCTCTATCTGCGGAGACTCCGGGCACCGCCACGAAGCCTCGGCGGGAAGGCCTGTGCTCTCGGCGCCCAAGCCGCTGCGGGGCTGGGTGGCCCAGGGAACCAGTGGCAGCCCGAGCCTGGCCTCAAGGCCTCGAGGGGGCGGACGGGCTGAGCGCGCTGTCTCTGCCACAGTGGCCATCAACCTGATCGTGCAGCATATCCAGGACATCCTGAGCGGCGACCTCTGCAAATGGCAGCGAGGGTCCAATGGGCGGAGCTACAAGAGGACATTTCCTGAGCCGGGAGACCGTCCTGGCGTGCTGACCGCTGGCAAGCGATCGCACTTGGAGTCCAGCAGCAGACCCCACTGAGGAGCGGGGTGCTCAGCCTCCTGGGCAGGACCCCTGACAGATTGTGTTCAGGGTCGGGCCCAGAGATACCCGCCCACCCGCCCCTCTAAACGCCACCACTGCTTCCTCTGGGCGCCATAGGTACGGACAGGATGGGCGGGGATCGCGGTGGTCCTCACTGCACCTGTCACACTCGACGGGATGTCGGCATGCCCTCTTGACATCTTCACCTGCTTCCGCACATTAGAGGGTTAAAAGTCCAAGTTACTGAGAAATGCCCCGGAACGTGTGGTGAGCCGGTCACGTCCCTTGGGAACACGGAGCACACGGCATGGCTGCTGTGGCTGTCCAAGCGTGTGACAGGAACCCACGGCGAGAGGGACTCTCTAGGATGGTCCGGTTCCCGCACACATGCGACTGAAACAGGTCAAGAAAAGAGTACTTCCCCTCTCTAGGTGTTACATGTGTGACTGTTTCGTTATTTATTCTCCCATGTGAGTTGTGACCCAGTAACCGAGTTTCATGCTCCCCACCCACCCCCGCCGTGGGGTGCGATCCAGGGGGGCACACCCCTTTCTAAGGAGCCAGAGAGCTTTCCTTCCTCCTGGGCTGTGCGCCAAGGAAGGAGCCCCGGGAACAAGCCTTTCCTTAACCAGCAGCCAACACAGGAGACGACACGTGCTCACCCAGGCCGAGCCCGGCTCCACAGGTGGGGCGGGGGGGCAGGCTGGTGCACCCCATGTCTCCGCGCCGTCCTGCTCAGGAGCCACCTGGGGCCCCGGTGCTGAATGGACAGGCCTTCCCTGGGGTAGCCCGGGGCCCCATCTAGGGCCCAGCGCCCAATGCCAGCCAGTCTCCTCGCACACACCCCACATCCTCTGCCTATGGCCGGAGTCGTCCTGGCTTGTCTTCCCTTCCGTTTGTATAGAATAGAAGTGACGCCTCCCCCTGGCCACGGGCTAAGCTGCACTGACGCTCCCTGTTTCCTTCCATCAAGCACTGAGTGTAGCTCCACAGACAGGACCCCAGCTGAGCTTGGCCGTGGTTGCTCTCTGATGACCGTGTGGCAGTCTTGTCCAGCTTACTGTGCCCTTTTGGAGAATCAATAAATAATACCAAATGCCAGTGCCAGTGTGTCCCTTTTTAATTGTACACAGAAGGCAAATTCAGGATGGGGGTACCTGTGGGGGACACGAGGCTCAGCGTGCCGGTGGCGCTGCTGGCCCGTGTGCCCCCGCCATGTCAGCAGCAGCGAGGGGTCCCAGGGTCTCTGCTGCAGTGGCCGGAGTCCGGGGCCCGTCCTTCAGTAGCTCGTTTGGCGTGGACGGGACGCAGGCCGGCACCTCGAGGCCTCACTGGGGATGAGGCGGAGGCGTCTGCAGCTTCACAGGCCCAGGGCCTTGGCTGCTTTGACCCTAACTCTCCCCACCGTGGCCTGCTCCCCTCCTGCTGCTGCTCCCTCACGAGGCCCACGCCCGCCAGCCACTCACTGCGCCCTAGCTCAGGGGGCGCGGAGGCGCCAGTACACGCCTCGGGCATGTTCTTTGTTGCCTGGAAAGCAGAAACTCGGCTCAAAACAAACCATCATCAACCGTCTGGAGAACGGGACACCATAGCCCGGCCTAGGCTCTTCTGTCAAAGACCCACACGGTTCTCGGTGACAGCCCTTCCTGCCCGACCCCAGTCCAGACGTTCACTGCGCGCGTCCTGCTAGTATTTTCGGATCAGAATGTCCCAGCTGTCTTTCCAGCGAAGGGCCTTGAGTTCGCCGGGCGAGAGGGACCTGTCCCCGTAGGTGAGCGGGCGCAGCGTGTTGAACACGTGACAGGCGCAGGAGTACCACGCCACCACCAGGCTGCCGAAGACGCTCCTCAGGAGAGGGGACCTGGGGGGACCGGGGCGCGGGCACAGGGCTCTTCCTCACCATGAGGCGCACCAGGCCCCCTGGACAGCCTGTCCTTCCTTCTCACTCCCTGCCCCAGGCGCTGGACATGACCCCCTCCTTGTGCATGTTCCGGAGTCTCCCATCTACGCTCCGGTGCTGGAGCAGCATCCCCACTCCCGGCGTGATCGAACCACAGCCCTCCTGAGAGGCTGTGCAGCTCCCGACCCCCCAAAACACCGAGTCCACGCCCTCTGGCCCCACTTCCAGAACTCGCTGTGGTTCTGCTCCACCGCACACCGTGCGACCCAGCCCGCGTCCCCGTTGTTCGCCCCTCGCAGCTGGCCACACCTGCCTCCCATGGTGCCCCCAACCCTTCCCACACCACCCGAAGTCCTCCCTTGGGACACCCCTGGACCTGGAGCCCCGGGGGGCACAGCCGCTGAGGCCCTGTACCTGCACAGGTGGTCGGCAACGTGCTGCAGGACCACAGGGAGCAGGAGGATCTGGAAGGTGAGCGCGGGGAGGTAGTGGTAGAGGAAGAGCGTCTTCTCCATCAGGAAGAAGGGGAGGTAGTTCACCGCCCAGCCGCCGGCACACAGAGCCCCGGCCAGCACCCAGCGCAGCCAGCAATCTGCGGGGGGAGAGGCTGCCCTGAGCCAGCGCTGCTGACCCGGGCCCCGCGTGCAAAGGCTCTCTGCTAGTCCCACGAGCTGCCTTCCTCATCTTTAAGGTACACACGCTCTCCGTTCCCCACCCCCCAACCCTTCCCGTGATCTCTGGAGAAAGAACTATGTCCCAAGAACCTCCTGTACTTCCTGCGGGGTCCTCACCATCCCGACCCCCCGAGCCATACCCAACCCCCTGGGGCCCCGGCTCCTCCAGGATCATCAGCAGGCAGGTCGGACTCTCAGGAGCCGGAGCTGTGAGGGGCTGTATTTGGGGACCCGCCCTGCCCCCTGGGGCAGTGGTCAGCGGGAAGACTGGGGACGCTGCCACACTGCTAAGGCCTTGGGGGCTCCCCCTGCCCTTGTCTGTTTCAAGACAGTCCGCAGCAGTTTCTGTTACGCAAACCACCCGCACCCGAGTAACTCAGGGCCGGCTGACCACTCCGTGCCGTCCGCCATCCCCGAGCGAGCAGACACTGAGGTGGGGCTCACATCCTGGGGAGAGGGCCATTCCTGCCTGGCCCCTGCATTTCCCTGCACGAGCCTCTAACACAACGTGGGACCCTCAACTGCAACATTTTATCTCTAGGGAGACAGAACACAGGGCGCCTGGGGGGCTCAGCGTCTGCCTTCGGCTCGGGTCATGATCCCGGGGTCCTGGGATCGAGCTCCGCATTGGGCTCCCTGCTCGGCGGGAGCCTGCTTCCCCTTCTCCCTCTGCCCCTGCTGGTGTTCCCTCTCTTGTGTCTTTCTCTGTGTGAAATAAATAAAATCTTCTTAAAAAGATACATTTAAGCCCCTTCCACAAAGAAACAAGGAGATCGCCTTCAGGCCCAGGTTGCTGGTGAGGCCGACTGTCACCAGGAGCGAGACGCACTGACCCTCGGACAGGTCCCAGATGCACCTTCGGCGTCTAAGCAGGTACCAGAAGAAAAGCAGCGCGTAGACCGCTGTGGCGAGGCCGGCCGAGGCCCAGATCACGACGTTCCCAAGCAGGTGGATCTGGGCCTGAGGGCACAGGGGACCCCGTCAGCCACCGGCTGCTTGGAGGGACCCAGCCCCGACAACGCCCGTGTGCCCGCCAGCCTGCGGCCAAACCCCGGGCACAGGCTGGAACCGCAGCCTCTGCTGCAGGAAGGGCGCGAAGCAGCGATGCGACCGGGAGGGGCCAGCACCCCTGCTCTGACAACAGCGCCCAGCAGAGGGTGACCCGGGGCCACGCGGGGCTAAGGACCCCGCTCCACAGCACGTGGCCGCTCGTCTCCACGCGGAGGAGGACGAAGGGGAGCGTTTTCAGCGTGAACTCATTTGGGAGGTGTTTGGAGCTGGGGGTGCCAGCTCCCGGCTGCTCATCCTAAGGTGTGAGGAGGGACAGACAGGTGTGCACAGAGCACGGGTGGGCTCGGCCGCTCGTGCTCTATGCAGGACAGCGCGGGAGTACTTTAAAAGCCGCTCTTCTCAGAAAACGGGGAGCAACGCGCTCCCACAAAAGCAGTAAAGCCTGCTTTCCTCCAACGTGCGGCTGTGCCGGGACCTCACCCCCACGGCTGACGCGAGCACCGGCCCCGCAGGAGGCCCCTCACCGAGCCAGGCCCGCGCAGGAGGCAGCGGCTGCTCTCCACGCCCGAGGAGCCCCGAGCGACCGCCCCACGCGCCGCCTGCCCACGCGCCCGCGTACGCTGGTCCTGGGGTGCAGCCAGTAGGCGATGCTGGTGTCCAGGGTGACCCAGTCCAGCGGCGAGGAGCTGTACTTGTGCTCTGAGTCATCGCTCTTCACCATCAGCATCCTCCACTGCAAGGAGGCAGAGGCCAGAGTCGAGCTCACAGCCAGAGCCGCCCTCGCTCGGGGGCCTGGCTGAGGGGCTGGGGTGTCCCTTTCACGTTCACCTGGACCATCCAGCACACGTGGCGCTGAGGTCCTACCCCAAGGCCCCCATCACCCTGTCTGTGGGGGTAAGGGACTGAACTTGGTGCTAAAGGACACTTTTAGATTCAGGACCCCTAGTTTCTGATTCTGACATTGCTAGGGCTCCATCATGTTGACTTTGGGCCACTCTGACCTGACCGTGGGGGGCTCCAAGCATACTCTGGCTGTGGATACAAGGATACACTGCCTGGTTCCTGGCTATTCCTGCCCGCAAGGCCACAGGCCCGGGGCTGACCGTGTGGCCTCTACCACTTACGGCCGAGACACAGGAACCCTTCCTGCTCAGCCAGGCCCCGGGTGAAGGAAGACGACGGGAAGGGTGCAGCTCTCCCGAGCACAGCGCTCCCTCTGGTGAGGAGCCAGCGCCCCAGGTAGAGCCGGGCCACCCCCTCTGGTCACCTGCAGCTCCAGGAACCTGGCCATGAAGCTCAGGTTCCTGCTGACGTCCATCTGGGCGGGCGAGTGCAGCTCCAGCTCCCTCTCCTTCTGCTCCTGGCCTGGCACGACACACAGCAGAAGGTCAGGGGCTCACCACACACTGGCAGCTTGGAGAAAAGCCCACGTCCCTCTTCTCTGACAGCCCACAGCATCGCTCCGCTTGGCCTTCCCGGCCATCTGCGGGAGCCCTGTCAAATCCGGATCTTTCCACTCGAAAGGCTCAGCTTGCACGGGCCCCAGGCGCTACCTCAGAGCGACAGGTGGCTTGTTCGGGCTCGGCTCAGCAGGGAGTGCGCATGGCGTCCCATCCCCGAGTGAACCCGAGCCCACGGCAGGGGGTAGGGAGGGTGTCTCGTTAAAGCGACAGGAAGCCTGCGGGCCAGACTCACTTTTGCCGTATCGGTGCTCCTCCACGTTCCATACCATGCTCTCGTGGTAGCCCCGGGACAGCTTCTCCCCGACGACCTCCAGCTGCCGGAACCCCCAGTCCGGGAGGTGGGCCCCGCTCAGCTAGCGAAACAGTGGGTTGTGGGGGAGACGGGGGGTGACGCGCAGGCCCGGGGCCCCCGCTCATCCCCACCACCCTGCCACCAGGTCACTCTGCCCACAGCCGCCAAGGGCGGCAGCCTCTCCCCCGTGCGCCCGCCACGTCAGGATTCAGTATGAGAAGTCGGAGTCCTGCCCCGCCGCGTGCATGTAACACGGCAAAGGCTTTAGCCGGGCGTCCTGCCCGTGAAGAGTCCGTTCAGCCCGGAGGGTCCGGTAAACTGTGTCATGAGCCGCCCCCAGCCGAGACAGGTGAGCCAAACCCAGCTCCCCTTTACCTTCAGGACCGCAGAGGTGTTCACGTGCACCAGGCGGACCTCGGACAAGATGGTCTTCCAAACCTCCGTGTCGGATTCGCGGTTCACGATGTCCTGTAAAAGCAGGTCCTGTCAACGATCTCGTTCTTTCCCCGACTTCCTGACCTGTCCAGTGAGCACCGATCACCAAACAACGACGCTGAGGCAAGGGACCAAGCTCCAGGGAGCTAACAGGATGGTGCCCCGACCTTGCTCCCGACACCCACGCAGCAAGCCCCTGGCCGGGCCGGGGCCACACTGCTCTTCTGCAGAGTCGAGAGGCCCCCATCGGCCTTCTCGCTTGTGCAAATGCACAGACGGCTCAGGCGAGGGCTGGAGACGGTCCCTGAGGTGTCCTCTGTGGGGTGCGGGGGCTGCTGGCAGGTAATGGAACCACTAACACTGTGAGAGCACTTGGCCTTGTATCTTATCGCAGCCTCGTGGTGACCCGTGCAGGCGTGTGGCTGTCAGGGAGGACCGGAGGACCCAAGGGCTCTGCGGGAGCAGGGAGAGGCCGGGCTGACGGTACACCCCGCGTCGGCCGCCCTCCCTCCTTGCTGCATGAGCCACAGTCCCTGGACATGTGGGCTTGTGGGGGTGAAGGTGCTACTGGCGGGAACGGGGGAGGAGGGGGCTTGGCCATTAGCTGTCCAAGGCCTGGTAGAAGGGCAATAGGTGGGCCCCTAGGAGAAGGTCCACCAGGAGGCCTCCCAGTGACGGGGCCTGGGTGCAGAGCGCTCCCATCCCATGGGAACAGCCGAAGGGAGGAGGGAGAAGCAGAAGGTAGGCGGACACGTGCAGCACCAAGAAGGTGAGGGGGGGACGGAGGGACGCTGCTCACACACACACACACACACAGACACACACACGGCAGCCCTGAAGCCCCTGGCTCCACCAGGAGGGCCTGCCAGTGGCACGGCACCCAGCACGCCCTGCCGGTCGCACCTGCGAGCCCAGAACAGAGGGCGGGAGACCCGTGCTCGGCGGGCGGCTGCTGGTCGGAGCTGGAAGGAGAGCCTGCCTCTCGTTAGGGAGAGACCCCCGCCCCCGGGGATTAGCGTGCACACGGGACTAAAACTGTTTTTGAGCACGTCTTTGAACTCACAGCGGCGCAAGGACCCGGGGACACAACTGTCTCTTCCTGCCACCGTTTCCAGCAGGCCGCGTGCAGCCCTGGAGAGGGACTCTGGAAGGGGGCAGCCCGTGTCCCTGGATGCTCAGAGGCCCGGTCAGAGCCCCAGCTGTCCCCAGAGAAACCCTGTGGCCAGGGTGTTCCTTCACACCAGGCGAGGCTCAACGAAAGAGGCTCCTGTGGTCAACGGAGGGTGGCTGGGGAGGCCCGACCCTGTGCAGCCATGACCTGGTCTTGAGTCTGGAGAGGCCGCCAAGGCCAAGGGCACCTTCACCTGGCAGGGCCCCGAGAGCCACATGGCCACCACAGAGCACAGACCACCTGCTCAGCCAGCTCGTCCCTCCCATGGAGACGTCTCCCTTCCCACGAAAACACCTGGGGCATTTTATAGGGCTAAAAATCACTAATTTTACATCTCAATCAGTGACTCTAAAGGGCACTTTTGAACAGACACATTCCTGATGGCCACGGAGGGGTTTCCGGCTGGGACTCACCAGTCGCCAGAGGTTCTGGGAGGGCATGGAGATGTTGTAGTCCACGTAGCAGGAGACCTCCTGTGAGTGGGGGCTCAGGGGCGCCGCCACGTCGTGCCTGGAAAACACAACGTGCTGTGGAGGGGGCTCCTCACCCAGCCCATCACTACGCCTCGAAGCGCAAAAACCCACTTCCAGAAACAAAACCGGCTCAGCCTGAAGGAGGAGCGGCCCCGAGGGGCACCGTCTGAGGCTTGCGGATCACGAGACACTGACGGCAGCCCTTCCCCTGGGGAGAAGTACCCGAGATGCGGGGCCTGATGGACGGCAGCCCAGGCCGCGCGGGTGTTGCCACTCCACCATGGGCGACAAAGCCAGTCTGGGAAATGGTTGCGGGACTAGAAACACCGTGGGGGGATGAGACGCCCTCAGGGACGGCGACCTCCGATGTCCAGAAAGAACCACCTCCCTCATCTGTGTGGTTCTCACGCTTTATCCTCCTTTGCGCCGGGCACTCCGGAGGACACAGCCCTCCCTCGCACCTGGAGAAGGCAGACCTTCATGTGCGCGGCCAAGAGTGCCAGGCTGTGGGGCACCACCGACAAAACCAAGAGAGCAGGAGCGCCTGGGAAAGGCTTTGAGGAGGCGACATTTCAGCTGACGCGTGACCACAGCGAGCGGGCCATGGGGGATGGGAGTCCAAGAACATTCCAGGCAGAGAGCAGGTGTAAAGGTCTCAAAGGTGCTGCGGTCGGTCATCTGGGGACAGCAGGGAGGCCAGGGGGACTGCAGTGAAGTTCTCCCGGGAGTCACCAGAGGCTGGATCCCAACGGGCCCGCGGCCAGGGAGAAGTGGGGATGTTATTCTGAACGTGACGGCCACGCGGTGGGAGTCATTGGAAGGCTTCTGGCCGAGAAGTGAGGCCAGGCCAGTGGACGGCGTGGGCTCACAGGGCACCACCCGTGGTGGGGGGTAGGGGAGGGGAGGCAGGAGATCAGGGCACCGGCCCTGACAGCACAGGGATCAGGCCTCGACTGGGCCGAAGCAGGAGCAGAAGGAAGAGAAGCAGCCGGGGTGGCGGCTGAAGCGCTGGCTTCTTCCAGGGAGAAGAGGCCAGAGGCTGCAGGGGGTAGCCTGCAGGGGGAAACAGGGTCTCGAGGCACCATCTGGGAGGCGTGAGAAGCCAGGAGATGACCTGAGAAGCTGGGTGGAGGTAGGAAGAGAGGAGACCGGGGCACGCTGGTTTGCAGAGACTGCTCGGGTCAAGTCAGGAAAGGGCTGAGCACCGAAACGCAGGGACCATTCTGGACCTTACGTGGCCGGATTCCAACGCTTCTTGAACTCACACGTACTTTAAGCCATTCAACTCCAGGGAAGTGGCGCGCTTGGTTCTATGTGGGAAGCCCTCCCGTGCTCTCCCTCACCTGTCTTTCGAAGCAACCCCCGCCCCCAGCCACCACCCACTGCAGGGTCCAGGGCGGCCCCAGGGTCTGCAGGCTCCCCTGCTAAGCCCCGTCCCCCAACCCCTCCGTGTGCTGTCATCACCATCACGGGGGGGGCACCACCAAAGAGCGCGGGCTACAGCGCGGGGCCACCCCGAGGGAGCCAGACACTGGCGTAGGGGCAGTGGGCAGCCGACCCGAGAGGCGCGGAGAGGGCGGACGGTGGGCACTCACGTGTTGAGGAAGCGGGTGGTCATGCCGTGGACCAGCTGTACTACGTCCCCGTGCCGCACGGGCCGCGGCGGGCTGCTCACCACCAGTGGATGCCTGCGGACGCGGAGAGCCGGCCCGTCAGTCGGGGGGCCTCCCTTGTCCCCGTGCCCCATACACGCACCCCCAAGGCCCAGCAGGGTGGTGGCGGGCGCGGCGGAGCAGCCACAAACGGCCGACCGCCTCACAGGCTGCGCCACAACGGGTACCGGGATGCCGACGTGCCCGTGACCAGAGGAGGGCAGTCAAGGCAGCCTCCCAGAGGAGCGACAGGTTTTACGAAAAAGCCGGCTAGGGCTGCCTGGGTGGCTGAGTCGTTAAGCATCTGCCTTGGGCTCCGGTCATGATCCCAGGGTCCTGGGATTGAGCCCCACATCGGGCTCCCTGCTCCTCAAGCCTGCTTCTCCTTCTCCCTCTGCTTGTGTTACCTCTCTCTCTCTCTCTCTGTCAAATATACAAATAAAATCTTTAAAAAAAAAAAAAAAAGCCACCCCCGGCACAAGGCAGGACAGAGGCCAGGCACTGCAGGCCACCGTCAGGGGTCTGGATGGCCCTGGTGGCCCTGAAGGGACGACAGAAGCTAGGAAGGGTTTCAGCACGACCGTGATCTGCCATGAGTGACATTTTAAAAGCCCACGTGGGGCAGCGAGAACTGGAGCAGGAGACAGCTGTGGGAGACGCAGGGGGTAGGGACAGAGGCCAGGATGGTTCGGGACCTCGTTTGCAGGACGTCCACGGACGGGCTGCCGGACTGGACGGGGCAGGGGGACAAGGGAGTCCTCCATCCGTGAGGCCTGAGCAAGGGAATGCCGTGGGGAGCACAGGGGGCGCTGGCAGAGAGCTTGGGAAGCCCCCGGGGAGACACTGGGCGGGGCAGGGAGCAGTTCCCTGAGGAAGCGTTCAACCCCTGGACCGCCGGCTCAGCAGCACGGAGCTGCTCTCGAAGCTTCGAGGGAGGAAGCGACCACGGAGAGGGGGCCACGAGGGAAGCCCCACCCTGGAGTCCCAGCACCCGCACGCACCTCCCGGGATCCTTCACGATCCACCAGTTGTTGACATCTTTGAACGGGTAACAGGTCACCTGCTGCTGGTGTGAGCTGCCTCGGCCGTTCTCGTATCTGTGAGAAGGAACCAACACAACCACGTGTCCGCTGGGGGCTGCCATCAGCCTTTCTCTCGAGGTTCCCGCCGACGCCACCCGGCAAGGTGCCCGGGTGGAAACAAGGATGAGACGTGTAAGCGTGGGTCCGAGAGGGACAGGAGGATGCACCCAGCGTGCACGTCAAGCAGCAGGTGTGGGAGAGCCCCCGAGGCAGAAGAGCCTTCTGCCCCGGAGTCCCTCTGTTCCATACACAGAAATGACAAGGTTCGTTGATAATCAGAATCCGAGAGCTCAACGTCTTTCTCGGAAATTTCATTTCGAGTCAAAGCTGGTAACAGCAGAAACGTGAAAAAGCCAAACGTATTACGACCTTCGGTTTACAACGGTCGCCTTCCTTACATCATGGGGTAGGTGCTCTGGTGGGAGTGGAGCCAGCAGGGCACGGGTTTGCCAAAGACGTTCTTCAGAGTGACCTGGGAGCCGTAGGCCACCTCCAGGGGCTGGCCCTGCGTGATCCGAGCTAGGCCGCCCTGAGACAAAAGCAAGAGGGGGCCGTGAGCAAGAGAGCCTCTGGACAGCCACACCTCCTCCGGGCGGGGGGCGTATTCGGGCGGTGGCAGTCGTTGTCGTGTCACAGAACTAGCAGGAGGACACGGGACCTACTCCTATCCCTCCACACAGCCCGCTTAGTGCCACAGGCATCCTCCGGGAAGTGCAACCCTGTCCATTTGAAAGGTGAGACTCTCTCAATAAATCTTTAAAGAAGAAAAAAAAGGGCTCCCTGGGTGGCTCAATGGGTCAGGTGTCCAACTCTTGTGTTTCGGCTCAGGTTGTGATCTCAGGGTCCTGGGATCGAGCCCCACAACGGGCTCTGCACTCAGCGGGAAGCCTGCTAGACATTCTCCCTCTCCCTCCGCCCCTGCTTGTGTCCTCTGTCAAATAAACGAACCTTTTTTTTTTTTAAAAGATTTTATTATTTATTTGACACAGAGAGAGAGCAGGAGAAGGAACACAAGCAGGGGCGGAGGGAGAGGGAGAAGCAGGCTTCCCGTCAAGCAGGAAGGCCGACACCAAAAACTGAACTGCCCAGGCTCCCCTCAAATAAATAAATCTTTAAAAAAAAAAAAAAAGGTGAGAAGACGAGCACTTGGATGAGCTAAGAAATTTGTCCAAACACACATGCCTGGGTGTCAGGAGTGGATCCCATCGGACTCTCCAGTCCTCACCACCCCCCAACTGGTATGTTTCACTCTCTCTGCAGAGTCAGCAGGAAGGAATGCCAGAGCCGAGCTTGTCCTGTGACGTGTGGGCACCTGTCCCGTGTCTGTGGGACTTTGCCATGTCCTCAGGCAGGCCACACTGAAGAGCTGACCCATCGCCTGTTTCCACGCTGTCCACACACGCACAGCTTGTTTAGAAAAACTAAAGCGGCTTCGTCATGTCTTGATGTGGTTTTCCCCCCTAACACCTGACAGTGTTTACATAAGAAACTCAGAGTCCAGGGGCGCCTGGGTGGCTCAGTCGGTTAAGTGTCTGCCTTCGGCTCAGGTCATGATTCCAGGGTCCTGGGATTGAGTCCCGCATCGGGCTCCCTGCTCCATGGGGAGTCTGCTTCTCCCTCCCCCTCTGCTCATGCTCTTGCTCTCAAAAAAAAAAAAAAAAAAAAAAAAAGAAAAAGAAAAAAGAAAACCCTGAGTCTAGTCTTATCCCCTCTCCGAGGCGGCCGTGGTGCCCCTCCTTACCTCCAGGCTGGCCTGGAAAGCACTGGACATGATCTGGTCGTGGGGCCCGGAACGGTAGACCAGAGTCAAGTGGACGTAGAAGAACAACAAGTACATGAGGGCCGGGACGACCAGCAGCGCTGCCACTCGGGCAAGCAGGTGACAGAGCACACGGACCTGCCGCCAGACAGAGGACAGGTCATGTCCAGCCGCTCGGGAAGGTGTGCCCTCCAGACAGGCAGGCCCAGAGGAAGCGGGCAGCAGAGCTCCAGGCTTCCCACAGCCTCTGGCCAGAGGCTCACAAAGCCTGTCTTTTGGAGAAGACTTTCTCCCCAGACGCTCACATCACACCGACCTCCGCCCACCCTGGGACGGCCACTCGCCCCATTCCACGAGGCACCTACATGTGACAGAGTCCGGTCTCCGATCAGGTGCCAGGCATGGACGCCGGCCACTGCGAGCACTAGCAGGTACGTGAAGACACCCACATATTTGACGCTGAAAAGACCCAAGGAGAAATCGTTCCAACAAGGCACAGAATGAGGAGACGGCCAAGGCTGCCTGAGGCCCACAGCCCAGACTCACCCCACTGCGCAGGAGCAGGCCATTCCGGTCAGCGTCAGCCAAAACCACCAGCGCAGGGAGAAGGGCCTGGGGTCAAAGCAGAAGAGCACAGCTGGGAACGGATCACGAGACACTGCCCGAGGGGGAGCACCCCTCAGAGCTCTCGGGATCAGTGGGCCATCCTGAGCTCCATGACGAGAAAACGCACCGTCGTCTCTCAAATCTCAGTCCCGGCAGAATTTTTTTCTTTTTGGCCAGAACATTTTCCCAGTTAGTTTAAATTATACAGAAGTGAGAGGCGCCTGGGTGACTCCATCAGCTAAGTGGCTGACTTTGGCTCAGGTCATGATCTCAGGGTCCTGGGTTTGAGCCGCACGTCAGGTTCCCTGCTCAGTGGGGAGCCTGCTTCTCCCTCCCCCTCTGCTGATCCCCCTGCTCATGCTCTCTCTTGCTCACTCTGCTCTCTCTCTCAAATAAATAATCTTTAAAAAAAAAATTACACAAAAATGAGAATGTATTTGTGAAGTCAGGAGCCAAGGGCCAGTCTTGACGACGAAAGACACAAAGTCCACAAGCGGCTCCCCCAAATGAAAAGGCATCAGACCCTTTCAGGTCAACAAACCATCCGGACACTTCCCTCTCATTAACTAGGAAGGGCGTGCCCCTGCTGCATACCTCTGTTTTTGGGAGTTGGCAAACTTCAGGTAGGACAGCACAGCCAACAGGTTGAAAAATATCAACACTGACTCCAAAAGCATGAGCCTTGCCTGAGTGATGAGAGCGTTCTCTGTTAGAAAGAGGACACGTACGTCAGCTGTCAGGGAGCAAGGGCAGACACAGGGAGATGGGAGCACCCACAGAAAGGACACCCTCTACAGGCCACAGAACGTGGCCATGGGAAGTTCAGGATTGGGTGGCTGGAGGAGATGGGCTCCAGAACCACAGAAGCGAGTTCTGAGGTGTGAATCATGCCTAGCAAGACCTGTGTGACCTTGGGCAAGTCAAAGAACCTTTCTGAGTCTTTATCCTTGTCATGTACAGAAGGAATGCCAACTTCGTGGTACGTGGATGTATGCAGCTTCACAAGTCTGACCTCACAGTTCTGCCAGCCCACACCCTGGGAGGAGGGCCACGGAGTCCTCCCAGAGTCAAATCTGGGCAGACTGGGCACACTTCCTTCCACCCTGTGAGGAGGAGACCCTGCGGGGGCACATCTACTAAACCCACGAGCTCTCCTGGGCTGCACGCTGTGACATAACTGGGGCCAATGTTGGGGGCTTCCCTGAGCGGCACCAGAGCAGGCAGAGGCCTGGGTCTCACCGATAAGTATCAGCAGGGCAGCCCCCGTGGCGGCGCAATGAGAAAAGCCAAGCTCCAGCAGGATCTGGTAGGCCATGGGCACCAACAGAGCCCCGGTGAGGGCCGGCAGCAGGCGCAAAGACCACACGGGCACGTTGCTGCTGTATTCTGGATGGAAAAGCAACCACGGCGGAGCTGACCAACATGGGGCACGCACCACCTTCCTGAGCAGCAGGTGTGTTTTCAAACATGGAGTCACGTTCACAGATTCCAAAATGCAAGTTTGCCAAACTAGGCACCATGTCAGAAGGGCGTGTGTAAGTTGCGGATAAAAGCCTTGACCTTGGCCGTGTGCAGTCAGAGCCTCGCACTCATCGGGCATGAAAATAATGCCTCATGACTCTGAAAGTAGTTAGTGCTTTACTCGTTTATAAATCTGCCCTGCCTTTTCCCCAAAACACTGAGGCAAGAGACAAAACTTCCATGGAAAAAAGATAACTGCGACAGATGCCACACACAGACACTGCCCCATGGCCTGAAAACCGAGGACAAAGTAGGTGCCGTGATTATACACTAAGATGGTCGCCAGGCCTTTCAAAAGCCTTCCACGTGTACCGAATTCATCATATGCTGGACGGATTAATAAACCACGGTTGTTAATCCCTAGGAAAGCCCTTCCTCTCCATCCTAATATTCCAAAGTCACAAGGGACGTGAAAATGACCTATTACCTGCTCCGATCCTGTTCCACAGAAAGTTACCATCAAATCCTCCTAAATAACCTGAAACAAAAGACAAGTCAGAAACTACCCCAAGCAGCAAGAGTTGGGGAGTACCAAACCCTGACAGCCACAGGGAAACACTGATGACTAATTAGACACAGTTTCTGCCCTCAAGAAATTCCACTTACGAGTTTAATAATTTCTTAAACAAATTACCACAATTTTACTTATTTATTTAGGTGTTGTAAATAGGCTTTATTTATTAATTTATTTTAAAATAATCTTTACACCCAACGTGAGGCTTGAACTCACAACCTCGAGATCAAGAGTCACGCACTCCACCAAATGAGCCAGCCGGGAGCCCCTCACTTATGAGTTTTAAAGGGCTACTTCTAGGGGCGCCTGGGTGGCTCAGTAGGTTAAAGCCTCTGCCTTCTCAGGGTCCTGGGATCGAGCCCCGCATCGGGCTCTCTGCTCAGTGGGGAGCCTGCTTCTCCCTCTCTCTCTGCCTACTTGTGATCTGTCAAATAAATAAAATCTTTAAAGAATAAAAAATTAAAAAAAAATAAATGGCTACTTCCCTTGCTAACGAATCCTACCTCCTAAGGCCAGCAGCATGTGGCCAAATGGTGGTCCACTGCCGTCCAGAAAGAAGATCCGCTTCATGTAGAAGGAGATGTACTGCCCGTAATACACTTCATCAAAGCTGCAAAGCAAACAGGCGTGATAGTCACTAGAAGCGGATGCCCTAGCACAGGTGGAGGGTAAATGTACTCCTGTTTCCAAACAACGTGAGTGCTCATTTGACTGCACCTGCACCTTGTCCCAAATATTCAGACAGCGGCACAAGGACAGGAGGGAAAACTCGCCGACAACGGCCACACACTCAGGTGTCTGCCCTACACAGACTCGATTCACCCTCCCCGGGTCCACTGAGGACGTGCAAGCAGGTTGTCTACTGAGAGGCCTCCCAGACCCGGGGCTGCGTCTGTGACTAAGGGTCAGAATCACACGTGGTGACCAGGGGCAGGGGTCATGGGGGGACATGCAGAAACCAACTGCAACTATTTTCAGACAGTTGGGGACATCCAAGGATATCGTCAATATTGCTGTTAATTTCTTAGGCGTGACAATGTTAAGACAGTTTAAGTTCTCATCTTTTAGAAAGATACCAAATTACTGAAACATGCTGCTTATGACTTGCCTCAAAAAAGTCCACTGAAGCTGAGTGATGAACACATGGGGGGGTTATACTATTCTCCCTACTTTTGTGTATGTTTAATGGGTTCCACAATGTGTGTTCTTCTCTGAACACACGTTAGCCAGACAGCAAGTGGCCCTGTCATACCACCAGCCGTCATCGCTCCTTAGAGCAACACGCTCGAAGGTCAATGGAGACTCAGTTCCAAACCCATCGATCCTCTACCCCTGATTTTAAATGGGTACCTATGGCTGCTGCATCTGTTTCAGGGGCCACATTCCACCTGCTAGAGAACTACAGGGCAAATGTGACAGGTGGACTCAGCATGTGCCGCCCTGAGGACCCACTGTCCTCTCCTCTGCCCAAAACATCCATCACGGAGAAGCCCGGAATTCCACTCTCTCGCTTCTGCTGTTCAGAAGGGCACTTTCGGTCCCCAGCGCATGAACACATCACAATTTCCAGTCCGTCCTGAATGGGGCTGTCTGACTTACACCACAGCCCTTGGATAGGCGAGCCGCCACAGGCGGCTCAGTAACCCCACTGCAGTCAGAGCCACAACGTTCAAATTGATGTCAGCCGTCACCACCACAGGGCGCTCCAAAAATCCCAACATCGTGTAGAGAAGCAGGTCCTGGAGGATGCCCTGGAGAAGGACAGAGACGGCATCGGAAAAGCAGCAGCAACCAGAAGCTCACAGATTCGCGGAAGAGCTCGGCAGCCACCGCAGCTCTCAGGTGCACCGCGAAGAACCAGGCGTTGGGGGGGGGGGGCAGGTGGTCCTTGGGAGAAAGTCCGGAGGACACCAGCAGTCACCTAAGGTGAGAACTCGGGCGCCTCAGGACTGAACAGTCACTCACTCACTCAACAAGCCACTCCGCGACCACCCCCCGAGCGCTTCCCGGAGAGGAGCTGCTTATTAGGGAAGCCCCCGGGCCTCGCCAACCTCGCCCTCCTGGGCCCCAGAAGGCTCCTCATCTGCCCCTAGTGCTCCCCCACCCCGCTCCCTGCTGCAGCCCATCACCTGGGCGCCCCGCTTCTCACCCCGAGGGTGCGTCTGTACCCAGGAGCCCCCGTTTCCTCCCTGAGGTGTCATCTTCCCTTGAGTGCCCCTTGTCTTCGCTGGGCGCCCCTTCTCGCACCAAACAAAGCTGCATCTGGCCTGTGGCGGTCCCCGCCTCTGCAGAGACCTTAGGAGCCCTGGGAGGCCCCCACTCCTCTTCCAGGCATTCCCTTTCTCTCTCGGGCTGCACCTTCCCGCGGGTTTCATTCGGCCCCGAGCACTCCCTCCTCTCCCAAGCCTGCACCTGCCGGGGCGCCCCCCTCTCTCCCCGGGCGCACCTGCCCTCGGCCCCGCCCCCTGTCCAGCCGGACGCCGACGCCCCCGCCCCAGGTCGTCCGCAAGCCGCGCACGCGCGGCCCGCGCCGACTCTCGGGTCTCAACTGGGCGCTCGTCCCCGGCGCCTCAAACGTACTCTCTTTTCGTCGAGTTCCCGCAGAGCTGCTCCCCGCGTCCGACCCCGCCTCGGATCCGCCGACCGGGGGGCGGGGGGCGCCCACCGTTAGGGCTTCTGGTCGCGCGCCGGGGCGAGATTGCTCGGCACTCTGCGCCGCCCACGTACCGCCTGCTCGACGCTCGACTCGCCGGGCCTGCGGAGCCCTTTGCGGGAGCGGCGCGCGTGCGCCCTGGGCCAGAGCGCCGCGCGTGCGCCGCCGGGGCCCTCAGGGTCCGGAACGGCGCAGAGACCCGCCTCTGTAGTGCGCCGTTGACAGCTTTGGTGTTTCAGAAGCCCCGTGGCCGCTGGACGCTCCAGTGTTTTTAAAAAAACGAGACGGTTGGGTCTTAGCCGTGTGCATCGCAGTGCAGTCCGGCGAGCAGCTCGCGTGCGGGGGTCTGCCCGGGGCCCGCGGGAGCGCTCGTGCGCAGGGAGGGCGGGCGGGGTCGGTGCTGCCGCCGCTTCCCCGCCCCCAGCCCAGGCTCCCTCGGGCTCTCTCGCACTGCGCAAGGCTCCCCCGGCCCCCGGCCCACCGCTCCTCGTGCTCCCTTGCGCCCCTGCCTACCCCCGCCGCCGCTCTTCGGTCCCCCGCTGGCGGGGCGGGACGGCCAACCTACGGCCAACCTTGTTCCCAGTTTTCCCCTTCCCGGTCCTCTCGCGTATGTGTGTTCATCTCACGGATGGGTATTGCAAGGTTAAGAACTACAATGGTGGTAGTTCGCGAACCATCTCTCTTCCCCGCGAATGTTGGTCAACCCAGCGTTAGAGGACACCGGTGGAGAATGTGGGGTTACTTCTGACTTACCCGTGCCTCGCCCAAGGCTGTGGAGAGGGAGGGAGCTGGAGCTCACCCCGCCTGAGGCCGGGGGCTCCCTGGGCCCCCGGAGCAGTGGGGCTGGCTGACTCCTGAAGTTCCGAGAACCCCCTGTCCCTGGCAGTGAATCCAGGGAACGGGTTTGGCCGCTAGAGCTGAGACAGCCGGTGCCCAGGTCCCTGTTCTTCCCTACAGTCAAGAGGCGCTGGAGGAAACTGCAGAGTCTTTCCTCATGGAAGGTGTTTTATGCAGGGGTGATTTAGAAGTCTCCTACATTCTTAACTGGTGCCCATGACCTCTTTGAGTCCACACTACCCCAGGAGGTTAGGTACTGTTAAATCGGCATTTTACAGTTGTGACTCCAGGGGGGTGAAGTGTTCTCCCAAGTCATGCAGCTGGGGTGGTTGAGGGCAGACCCGACATTCACCGCTGGGACTCAAACCCAAGCGCTTGATCTCTCACTTCCCGACTGGAGCATTCCTCTTCCCTACCCCAAAGTGCAGTATAAGCCTCTCTTCCCAGCAAAAGATAAGGGTCACTAAGAAGTGGCAAAAACAAACAAAACCACGACAAAGCATAAAATGGCTCACACAACTGAGCCTCGCTGGCTCAGTTGGTAAAGCACGCAACTCTTCATCTTAGGGTCAGACGCTTACTTAAAACTTAAAAAAATAAACCATAACAAATCAGATGCTTTCTCCTCTGACATGCCCAATTCTAGGGGGAAGTAGGGAGAGGGCAAAGGGCAGGCACATGTCCTGCACACCTTGATATCACCCACCAGGGGAAAGGATGGGCACTAACATTTACCCATTTGGAATATTAACCTTTATCTATAGGTTTTAATCCCTTCTCTCCCCCACCCTGCTTTAAAGCATTTCAGCCAAGTCACTCCCGATTTCCACATAAGATGTCCCTAAAAACCCTTCCATCTCTCTCATCAAATGACAACAGAAAATCGAGGGACACACAGCCTGAGAAAGCATGTTCAGCTTTAGGGCTTTTTCTTTTTCTTTCTTTCTTTTTTTAATTTTTTTTTATTTAAATAAGGAGAATTCTTTCATATGGAAAGAGCTAGTACAATCACATATTTGAAAGGAGAAACAATAGGTAGTGATCCGGAGGGAAGGGCAAAGGGTGAGTGTGCCACCATGGCCTGCTGAATCCATGATTCCATTTCCCATCCAAGGCAAAAGCTTACCAAAAAATATATAAACAAGCTGCACATTACACCTTTAGCCATCGTCTGCCCTTTCAAATATCTGGTCTACATGAAAAGACAAAGAGGAAAGGCCAAACTAAAAGCAAAAGGGAACAAAAACAAAACAACCCTCAAGAACAAAAACCCAAACCCTTTTTACTATGCAAGGCATGAGGTCAAAAGCTTAGAGTACAGAATCCCCTTTAAACAATGGAAGAAAGTCACCCACACAGAGCCTTCATAGAAATTTCCACTCTAAGGCTTCATAACATGCTGAAGACAGGGTCCTGGGGACACTGCCACACAGCCAGGGTGGGGAAATGGTGAACGGTAAGGTCAGATGCGCCTGGAAAATCACTAGCCTAGTATGCACTGGTGGTCCTGACAGAGGGCATGGCTAGGGGACAGTGCCTGGCCCCAACACTGAAACACCCTGTCCCAAGTGATCTCTTGGGTCCATCTCACATTTTCAAGCAGGAAGAGCTGGCTTTCTGGAAGTCTGCATTTCCCATTCAGCACAGAACATGACATAGCACACTCTGGTCTCCTTGGTTGTCAAAGGCCATTTCCCACAGACCTTCTAACCCAGGCTTGCTCTGCAAGCAGTGAAAAGGGACAAATACAGACCAGAGAGGCAACATGCAGCTACTTGGTGGAAAGGAACTGAACAGCTGGGAGGGAGGGGCTGTACCAGTCTGCCACACACTGCCTCAGTGGACCATTTCTGAACACGGCTGTGCACCCATGTGCACACCCTCAGCCTCCTTGGCTCTGAGCATCAGTCACAAACCTCATCACCCATCCAGAGGGCAGATCCAGAAGACAGGAGAGCAAGGGCATAGCTGGGGGGATCCGAGGTCAATATTTCACAAGATCCCCCAATATCCCTAGAGGTGGTTGGAACGACCACAGCTTTGGAACTCAACCGGTTTCTGAATGTCTAAGTCATCCTCTGGTTTCCCTCATAAGGAACCCAGAGCCAGAAGTGTATGAATTCCAAGTCTGAAAACAGTAATAATGTGGACTAAAAAGGGGGAAGCAATAGTAAAGAAAACGAGACCAAATATAACCGGCAGAGAAGTTTCTGGCGGAGGGGGTGTGTGTGTGTGGGGGGGGTAATGCCTCTTGGACACTTGACCCCACACTCCAGGATTTCACCCATTGAGTAGGACACTGCACGGACACTATTGCGGGGTCACTGGTTGCCAAGCAACGGGCTGCACCATCAATGGCCAGGGCCGAGCTGCCAGCATCAGGAGGTGGCAAAGGTGCAGTGAGGGGTCTCTGACTGCCCCTGCCCCCATCTCAGAAGCCCCAGAAAGCAAAGTGCTGGTCTTCACCTGTTCCCACCTAAGGCCCCGTGGCATCCTGGCAGAAGCCTCTGCATGGGTATGCGCTGAGGATGGGGTTCTGAAACCAAAGTAAGACCGTAAGCCCTATTACCTTGAGCTTGGTTCTAAAACCAAATGAAAAGAAGAGATATTGCACCTTAAAACCTGTCTGCACTAAAAACTGCATTTAATCAGACCGAGGAAGGGACTGGGGTGGGGTGGGGAGGTCAGGCAGGCCTCAGCCCTGCCCTCTGCCCCAAGCCCAATTTAAAATCTGTATCTTAGTGGGAAAGAGACCGCAGCTCGGGCACACGGAGGTGGTGAACGCACTGACCTTCACATGCAATTTCCTGGCCTTTCCTGCACGGAATAACTCAGACATTATATATAAATAGAGCAGTGAAACATTTACTTTTTTTCACCTAGACCTACAACATCAATACATATAAATAAATTCTAGTGTTTTCTGTTTTTATTGGGAAGGGGGAGGAGAGAAAATACAAGGGTAGAGGAAAGGGCTGGCGAACAGGTGACCTTTTGTTTTTATTTTTTTCTCAAACAGGAAGCACTGTCTTGCTGAGGGCAGGTCCACCTGAAGGGTACACCTTGCGTTTCCAACAGCATCCAGGGCTGCTCTGCCGGAATGCAAAGTGAGAAAACCTTTTCCTTCCTTCTGACATACAACATGCACCGCTACTAGGTGTGCGGGCCTGGCGGTATTTCTGAGTGTGCGGGCAGCGGGGAATGTGTGTGGCTCCCACAGGGGCAGCTGGGCAGGGGAGGCAGGTGGCAGCAGAGGGGAGC